GCAATAGTATCTTTTAGGCTTTTTGAAAATTCTCAAGAGCACAGCTGTGAACAGTTTTTGTGTGTGCCTTCAGATTTGGAGAGAAAAGAATATATTTAATCATGTTTAATTTAGTAAGAAAACCTGTTCCCGAGATCAAAGTCAATGTTTCATCTCAATTCATGATTCACTTTAGGATTTTTGCCCTGAAAGATGATGAGATACAGATTTAAACTTTCATAAACGTGGCAGGCTGTCATGCTGTTGAGACCACCATCCTCGCCGTCTCTCTTTGACCTAATTCTCGTTTTTCTAAAATGTAATAAAGATTTTTAATAGTATCATTTCACAGAAGCAGTTTGTTAAAGTACATCTGGAATTTCCCTTGGATAAAATCACATCTAGGGAGAGAGACCAGATTGTCATAAAACAGTGTTGGGCAATGCAATTGTTCCTGAATTGGGGTATGAGTTCTTGAACCCCAAGGCTGCATCCCTTACTTTTAGCTTACTGTTGGGCTTCATGGTTCTCAGAATGTGATGTGATCCTAGTGGCGTATTTGATCCATCTCAAATCACAGATAAAGAAAGTCACTATGGCAGGTGGTAGTGGTGCACACCTTTAGTCACAACACTCAAGAGGCAGAGGCAGGTGAATCTCTGTGAGTTCAGTGCCAGCCTGGTCTACAAAGTGAGTTCCAGGACAGGCTCCAAAGATGCAGAGAAAGCCTGTCTCGAAAAACTAAACAAAGCAAAACAAAAGACACTGTAAGTTACCAAAAAAATTCTCGAATGTGAGCATTCTTTCCTTGAACAGCTTGTTCAGACAGACTGTTCCAAGCTCCTGGGTCTGTGTGGTAGAGTGAGGTAGCAGACTGCCTCTCTGATAAGTTTTCAGTGACACCGATAGTGAGAGGACCCTACTTTGACAACCATTTTTCTCCTGCCCCCTCACTTTTTTTGAGACAGGGTTTCTCTGACTGTACTGGAACGCACTCTGTAGACCAGAGATTAATGGTGTGGACCATTTTATCCCTCCTAGTATGGGGAACATTCTAACTTTTTGTTGGCAAAGTCAACTTTGAACAAATTGAAGTGCATATCATATAAATATTAATTTCCCTAAAACAATAAATATAATGAAATTCTGATAGGATTCTGCAAAAGTCTTACTGAATTTGATGAACTGTTTTGTGCTGTAATTACAAAATTCAAATTTTGTTTTCAAGTAAGTATAATCGCATTGTTCACTTAACAAAGAGCACAGAGTAGCCAAGCCCTTGTTTGATCTCTCTAGCCACTCAGTCATCTTCCACACAGGTCATCAGTGTTTTCTCCACACTCTCAGGGGCATCAAGATCATATTTTTCATACAAGCGATAATTGAATACGCACATGCTACTGTGTACTGCTTTGTCTTAACTATGTAATGTGTTGTCATGTACAAACAAACCCCTCTGTCTCTCTGTCCCTGATCCTTCCCCCTCCCCATCCTTGCTGACTTCAGCTTTAACACGTGGTCCTCCTAACTCCATCTCCCAGAAGCTTAGGCTGTAAGAAGGCACTCACAGAACCACTATTTAAAAATAACTCTTCCTTAGACCAAACCTCAGAATTTCATTTCGTTCATAAGTAAAACTTATCTCTTTTATTCCCTTTTTAAATTTAAGTTAGAAACAAGCTTGTTTCACATGTCAATCCCAGCTCCCTCTCCCTCCCTCTTTTCCCCACCTTCCCCACCAGGTCCTTCAGTCCCCAACCCAATCTCCACTCTGATCCCCAGGTAGAGTGAGGCCCTCCATGGTGGATCTCCAGAGTCTGTCATTTCATCCAGGGCAGGGCCTAGGCCCTTCCCCATGAGTCCCGGCTGAGAGAGCCTCCCATATTGTGGCATGGGTACTCAAAGTCTATTTGTACGCCAGGGACAAATACTACTCAAGGCCCCATAGATTACCTAGGCCTTCTCACTGACACCCACATTCAGGGGGTCTGGGTCAGTCCTATGCTTTTCACAAAACCATCAATCTGGGGTCCAAGAGCTCCCCCTTGTTCAGGTCAACTGTTTCTGTGTGTTAAACCAGCCCAGTGCTAACTCCTTTGCTCATCAGTTCTCCCTTTATGTCACTGGATTCCAGGAGTTCAGCTCAGTGTTTAGCTGTGCGTGTCTGCCTCTGCTTCCATCAGTCGCTGGATGAAGGTTCTGTTTCTCAAACTGTCTGGCAGTGGTATTGTGTGCTGGCACTCCCCTGATTCATGTCTAAAATCCATATATGAATGAATACATACCATGTTTCTCTTTTTGTGACTGGGTTAACTCACTCAGGATGGTTTCTTTTAGTGCCATCCATTTGCCTGCAAATTTCAAGATTCCATTGGTTTTTTCATCTGAATAGTACTCCATTGTGTAAATGTACCATATTTTCTCTATCCACTCTTCAGTTGAGGGGCATCTAGGTTGCTTCCAGGTTCTGGCTATTACAAATAATGCTGCTATGAACATAGTGGAACAGGTGTCCTTATTGTATGAATGTGCATCTTTTGGATATATGCCTAAGAGTGGAATAGCTGGGTCTTGTGGTAGACTGATTCCCATTTTCCTGGGGAACCTGTATACTGATTTCCTAAGTGGTTGTAGGAGTTGGCACTCCCACCAGAAATGAAAGAGTATTCCCCTTTCTCCACAGCCTCTCCAGCATAAACTGTCATTGGAGTTTTGATTTTAGCCATTCTGACAGGAGTAAGATGGTATCTCAGAGTTGTAAAACTTATTTCAAATATGCCCCATTCTCCCACCCTTATGCACTTGATAATTACTTAATGGAACTTCATGCCAAACGTATGTCTTCCACCTGTCTCAGAGAGACACACAGTAGTCCTTCTATCTCCTCATTTAGTTCTCAACTTTTTCTCCCAAGAGCTAAAATCTAGAAGTCTTTTTTTCTGTCATAAACACACCAAGTTTTCTGTTTCTGCTCATATATTTGGCTCAGATTCTTGTTTGTGCCTTCATATGGATATTTTAGCATATTCCCTTTGCACTCACTATGCATAATGTATGTCCACTCCTCAAATACATTTTTTGCTTATTCTGATAGTTTTGAGTATAGCTCCTTAGAAACAAGTTCATATTCACATTCTCTATCACAGGACTAATCTGCTTGACATTAGCATGTCACAACTTTATGTGTATTTGGGAAATGACTGTAGGTTTGAAAAGAAACCAAGCAGATGAGGATTGAATGTTCAGGTAATGGTTAACAGAAGAAAGTTCCATCTCTGTGCCTGGAAGTTGATCACCAATGTGTATCATCACTGAGTGTAATTTGCTGCCTCATTCTGGCATGAGAATTAGACGCCTCCTACATCTGTTTCAAGACCAAGTGGGGTGACTGTCTTGTCTGTCTGCTTGAATATTCATAATAAAATACTACAATTTGGGTGGCCTTGACAGATAAGAACGATGAGACAAGATGGTGAAGATGGAGGATTTATGTCCCTGTAAGAAGAGGTATTGAAGAGGTCTCTTTCCTTCTTTCCTTCCTTCCTTCCTTCCTTCCTTCCTTCCTTCCTTCCTTCCTTCCTTCCTTCCTTCCTTCCTTCCTCTCTCTGCTCTCTCTCTTTCTCATTGCTCTCTTTCTCTACACACACACACACACACACACACACACACACAGACACTGAAAATGCTGTACATACATACATACGTACATCATGAACTTGGCTATTTGCAAGCTCATGAACAAAAACTGAGCCCAGACAGACCTTGGTCTTGGACTTTTTGTTGTCAAGGCCACTCAAATCCAGCTGAATACCATCACACTGGGGGTTCAGACATCAACAGCTGCATTGGAGTAGGAGGGACATGCAATCAACCCAGGATCCTGTCAGTTGCTCAGCCAGTTCCTGGAGTGAGGGAATCAAGGTTAGTAGTGCATTTCCTCATAAAGATTTCCTTCTTTGGGAGCTTATACTGTGAGCTGCCACCAGATATAGCTAGAAAAGCCAAAACCAAAACAAGGAACAGTCTTCAATTTTCACACCAGTTACTGCCCTTACAAAGAATATGGCTTAGCCAATGACAGAGCTTGCCTCCAAGCTGCTGACATGAGTTCAAGCCCAGGGGTCCTCATGGTGAAAGGAGAGAACCAACTTTTATAAAAAGCTGTCCTCTGACCTCCACTAGTGTGATAGCATGCTTGCCAACACATATATAGACATGAAATAAATAAATATACTTATTGAAAGACCCTTTTATGGTAAATGTAATTATCACAAACTTATGTTTTCTTTTTTTCTAGGTTCTAAATAACTAGTCTCTCGAGTTGGGTACTAATTTATATAATGACTAATTTATAATCATGGAGCTGTGATCCAGGTGGGGAAGGCCCTGACTACAGTTTTCTTTGAGTGAATATGGAAATAAACTTGAAAATCTGGGCATTCTAGTGGACACATTCTGAAGCTGTGATAAACTAAGTGGCCCTGTATTATGATCTAAAAGTTTATAGCAGAAATTATGGATTTCGCTTACTTCTAAAATTTCAACAATTTACTATTTAAGCAATATGACTTTTTTTGTTAAACTGGAAATTATTGTGCTCTCTTATTTAAAAATTGGTTGGTCGTTTTTTTATTTTTGTTTTTAGAGATAGGGTTTCTCTGTGTAGTCCTGAATATCCTGGAACTCACTGTAGGCTGGGCTGGCCTAGATCTCAGAGATTCATCTACCTCTGCCTCCTGAGTGCTGGGATTAAAGGTTTATGCCACCACCACATGTCTAAAAATAGTTTTGAAAAGTTTCTTCTACATCATGAATTGATTATCCAGTAAAAGTTGGTTTTACAAGTGAAGCAAATTAAAATAGAGAATTAAGGACAAGATATAGAAAGGACAGAGGACTCTTATCCAAAAGACTCTCAAGTTGGAGATTATTTATCATGCGGGAAGAGACTCACACTTATCATCAAGTGTTTGAATCATTTCCATGCATCACTGAGAAGAGTGTGCATTTTGACTTCACAGAAAGCCAAGCCCTTGATGACAGAGTTCTCGGTGAAGTCTACCATCATTTCTCGCTATGCCTTCACCACAGTTTCCTGCAGAGTGCTCAACAGAGCTTCTGAGGACCAGGATGTTGAGTTCCAGATGCAGATTCCAGCAGCAGCTTTCATCACCAACTTCACTATGTAAGCGATGTGATGGTCAGAGACAGACAGTTGTCCGTGGGTGTTCAAGGTGAACCTGAGAGAGTATGGGGTCCATAGTCCATCAAACTGGGAGAATTCATATCCTGTAGATAGTCTAAGAACCAGAGGGTTGCTGCCTGCTTTCCTTCCATTCTCTGTCTCCTCCTTCCTTCTCTCCCTTCCTCTCCCTCTCTAATTTCCTAATGTTTCCCTTCCTTCCCTAACTTCTTTTCTAACATCCTCAACTTCCTTCCTTTCCCCCTTCCCTCTCCCTTCTCCCTATTCTTCTCTTTTCATTCCATTCTTTTCTTCCTCATTTTTTATTTTTCTCCTTCCCCTCTTTCTTTCCTCCTCTCCATCCATCATGCCATCATGTCCACTCTAGGACAGGCACTCTTTGAGGGTATTGGTATAAGGAAGGAGAATATTGTTCTGCTCTAGAAATTTCAATCAAGGAGAAATAGTAACTACATACATGAATTAGTAAATGAGATCATTTTAGACAGAGGTAAACTCTATGGCATAAAGATTGAGAGGGGCTTTTGTTTGTGTTTTCTGAGACAAAGTCTTACTGTGTAGCCCAGACTAGCTTTGAACTCCTGAGGGCTGGTATTATAATTATCACCATCATTCTTGTCAAGAATGGCTCCCTTGGGAAGTGAGTTCAGGGAAGTGGCTTAGAGGGAGCTATGATTAAATTGAGACCTAAACAGTGAGGTAGTACCAAACCTTTGAGATATTAGATCAAATATATTTCCTCTTAATTGGACCCTAGAGACAGAGTTATTACTGTGATAGATATTTTGTGTTTAGCTTTTATCTGTGAAAGGTGTGAGCTGCTGGGTTCCTATGGGAGTTTGAGATGTTGGGGTTTTCTCCTATAGAATCATGGAGGTACCCTGGGTCGGGGTGCTGCCCTTTGGTCTTGATGGAAATTGCTCTTGAGCAGAATGCATGATGCAAGACTGTTGCTGAGCCTGGAATGCATTCTATCTGCATACCCATGAGGCACATACAAATATTTTCTGGGGTTGTCATGACTCTGAGAACCATGTTGGAGTTTGTCTTGGAGCTGGTAACACATCTTTGCCTTGTGTTTTAGGCTCATCGGAGACAAAGTATATCAGAGTGAAATTACAGAGAAAGAAAAGAAAAGCCATGACAGAATAAAAGAAAAAAGAAACAAAACCACAGACAATAATGAGTAAGTGCCAGTTAATTAAGCAACTAGAATCCAATTTTAAAAAGAATTCCATCCTTTACCTTCTTGTCTATCTGTTATCTTCCTTCGAATGTTTTTAATTTTAATCAAAATAATTAATATATGTGATTATAAATATAGCAGCAAATAGTTATAATAATAAGGAAGGTTTATTGTGCCTATGCCTCACTCTTGCTTTCTAGAATATATATTTCTAAAAATTGTGTACATTTGTCTTTATAGTTGCCTCTTTTACTCCATGGTTTTATTGATTTCTTGATAAAAACAAAACATTATCTACAGACTCTGCTATGAAGGGAGTTTATAATGCCATTTTTTAATTTTTTTGTGTATTTAATTAAACATAATTTCTTCTAAATAAATTGATAATATGGTTTCCTGTTAATGGATTCTATGTTGCATACTTAATCTGCAGTCTCATTAATAATGTCGTGCTTTTTAAAATTAATTAATTTTTCACATTCCAACCCCAGTTCCCCCTCCCTCCTCTCCTCCCACTTCCTCACTCCCCCCTCCCTTCTGCTCCATGGAGAGGGTAAGGCCTCCCATAGGAAGTCTACTAAGTCTGTCCCATCATCTAGTTGAGGCAGGACCAAGGCACCTCTCCACCCCAACATCCCTGTGTCTAGGCTGGGCATGGTATCTCTCCATACAGAATGGGCTCCACTATATCATTAGTGTTAGGTCTTAGACCCACTGCCAGTAGCCTCATATATTGTTCCAGTCACACCATTGTCACCTATATTAAGAGAGTCTAGTTTGGTCTTATGCAGGTTCCCCATTTGTCAGACCTGAGTCAGTGATTACTCACTAGCTTGGGTCAGCTGATTCTGTAGGTTTACTCATCATGGTCTTGACTCCTTTGTTCATATTTTTGCTCCTCTCTCACTTCAATTGTACTCTAGGAGCTTGGCCCATTGGCTAGTTGAGGATTTCTGCATTTTTCCATCTGTTTCTGTAAGAGGGTTCAAGCTTCTCTGGTGTTATGGATTGTGTTTTGGGTATTTTTTGCTTTATGTCTGACATCCACTTATGAGTGAGTACATAATATGTTTGTTTTTCTGGTTGTGGGTTACCTCACTTAGAATTTTTTTTCTAGTTCTGCCCATTTGCCTGCAAATTTTAGAAAGTCATTATTTCTTACCTCTGAGTAGTACTCCATTGTGTAAATATACCACATTTTACTTATCCATTCTTCATTTGAGGGGAATCTAGGTTGTTTCCAAGATCTGGCTATTACAAATAATGTTGCTATGAACATAGTTGAGCAAATGTCCTTGTGGTGTAAATGTGCCTCCTTCAGGTACATGCCCAACAGTGATATTGCAGGGTCTTGAGGTAGGTTAATCCCTAATTTTCTAAGAAATTGCCATACTGATTTCCACAGCAGCTGTATAAGTTTGTACTCCCACCAGCAATGGAGGAGTGTTCCCATTTCTCCACATCTCTGGTGTAAGCTGTCATTAGTGTTTTTGGTTTTAGCCATTCTGATCAATGTAAGATGGAATCTTGAGTGGTTTTGATCCGCATTTCCCTGATGACTAAGGATGCTGAGCATTTCCTTAAGTATCTTTCTGCTTAAGTGTACTGTTGAGAATTCTCTATTTAGATCTGTACCCCATTTTTATTGGATTATTTGGTAGTTTGATTTCTAGTTTCTTGAGTTCTTTGTATATTTTGGAGATCAGCCCTCTTATAATACCATTTTTAAAGCCAAAATTTTATAATGTCATTTTCTTTCTCCATCAGTAGACTATGCTAGGCTATCTCCATTAATATTCTTTTTCATCCTTCACTCTATCTCTTCTCAACTGTTGTACCCACTGTTTGTTATATAATATATATTTTATTTTTACTTTGTCAGAATTATTAGCATATACATTCTGACCTAAGATGATAATTGCATTCTTTTAAACCAATGCATTCCCAATGCTCTTAAATGTGTGCATGCATACATTTATGGGTAACTTGTGTATGCATGTGTGTGTATGCACTCACTTGTAAGTGAGTGTGTGAAGGCCAGAGAATGACTTTAGATATTGTTCTCTTGGTTTTTGAGAATGAATTTCTCAATGAAGCTTGCTGTTTTGGCTAGACCAGCTGGCAAGTGATCCCTTGCTAGGATTACAGGTGAACATGGCCTTAGCCAGCTTTTTCTGTCCATGGTAGGGATCAGAATTCAGGTCCTTGTGTTTATTCATCAAGTACTTTTACCCACTGAGCCATCTTTCCAGTCCCAGCATTTCCTTTGCAATGATGACTGATATTGACAGGTGCTGTCTAGTACACAAAGATTTTATTTCCCCCTCTATTAGACCAATTGGAAAGCTTTGTTTCCCTTTACAAAAAAGTCATTTTAGTATCTAGGCAAAAGGTTGTCCATTTTGTTCATTGATAAAGGGACATTGTTTGGGGAAAACCAGTTTTCAAAAGGCACAGGACTTGCTAGTCAGAAATGCCATCAGTGAGAATGGAAGAGCTCATTCTGCATGGAAGGCCTGAGTCTTAGGTTCACTCTTATATTGAAAAGCAAACCAAGCCCAGAGTGCCAGATAAAGGATATTCAGATATGGATAGACTGCTCCATGTTTATCCTAACATTACAGTTCCCAAGTACACAGGACAGTGAGGCATTCCAGTCAAGGTGACATTGATGGCTTTGCTTGTTTTGAGCCTGTTCAAATAATTCCTCATTGAGCCTTTACCTACACGTTTCCCTTCTCCTTCCCACAATCCTGTGTTCCATCTCTTTGTTTGATGAGATGCTGCACTGTGCCTCTGGATGCCCTCTCCCTTGGTGCAGCAAGTCATCAAAAGCTCACTTTGCTGAGCTACAGCTGTGTTCCGGGTTGTCTTTATCATAATTGTTCAGGATGATGCCAAGGTTTAATTTAGTTAGACCATAATTCCTGGAGTTTCTAATTGCTTTTCTTTTTTCTTAGGAGATAGAATTTAATTTTGTCACTGTTAACATCTATGAAGACACATAGTTTGTTTGAAATGATAACAAAATGAATGGCTGTAACTGGGTTTCTGGATGCAATGACAGCCAGTCACCCCACATCTTGGATGCCTGGCCGACATCAATTAGAAGACACATGAAAGATGAGGGCAAATCCTGGTTTCCGAAGCTGTGAAAACATGGCTACTCCCTGTCCACGCAATATACTGCTTTTGCTTTGTAGATCTGCTGTAAAACATCTATTCTGGAATCTCCCTTTGTTTTGAGATGGTTTTGTTATTTCTTTGATTCCATATCCTCCCCTCTTTTATGGTTTTCACCTTTGTTAAAAGCATATTCTGAAGTAATTTTCTCAGCACGTGTGCATGACAGACAAACCTTCTGAGGTCTGGCTCAATACTTTGGCTGTGAATGGAATAAAGATGAAAATAACTTTGTTTCTGAACTTTGAGTTATTCTTCCAGTGTCTTGTGTAATCAAATCTGGTTTTACTAGTGATGGATTGAATGTGAGCTAATAGCATTCCTTCCCCATGTTTCCTCCATCACATATTCTAAAGTTTTACTTTAATAGGTTTTGCTGTTATTCTTTTCCATTCGATCTTCCTAGTATGGGGGGAAACTTTTCTGTCTCTTATTTGTGTCTCTTACCATTTCTGGGAGGGAGTACAGTGAGCCACTCATATGTGGACTGGAATGGTCTTCTCTATCTGGTGTCTTCTCTCATTCCTTTTCTGATTTATCTTCCCAGATTCAGAGCTTGTAGTTTTGCTGAGATTTCTCCTGACAGTTTGAGACTCTTCCTTCCTGAAGCTTCTTCCAGAATGTTCTGAGCTATAGGATTCTTGTTTAAATAGATTCTTCCCCCAACACACAATTTTCTTGGAATGTTCTTGAGTGTCTTAACCACTGTTGGTGTCCTGTCACCTTAAAGCAGACAACCCTAACCCCAAGTCCTGAAAGTATTTGCAGTGGTTAGTAGTTTTATAACTTTCCCAGACATTTCTTTTATTTACTGATAAAAACAATCACCAAGGTGCAAAAATTTGATGTATTATCAGTTTTAAAGTTCTGTAAGGTGTCCACATTCTCTTGGCCACACCTGTAGTGGGGAGAACACTATTCTCATCTTGACCAAGCTCACTCATTTGGTAGCTCATCTGTGAACTGTACTCTTTATATCACCTATCTCCTTGGGTCTGTTTCAGGGAAAGTTAGGGGAGGTAGCCAGGTATTTAATTCTCTCCTATTCAGTATTCTTTGGCTGTGGATAGGAGGCAAACAAACAAATCTGACAGAATCAACTGAGGAGAGGAAGGATTTATTTTGCTCATGATTTCCAGCAGTCTTATCCATCATGGAGGGGAAGACACATGGTGGGAGTTTCTGTCTATGGAGTTAGAGTTTGTGGTGGGGCTCCCCATATGGCAACATCAGGAGCAGAGAAAGCTAACCAGGAACTGGGTTGGGCTATTATCCTTCAGGTACCTTTCATTGATGACCTGCTTCCTCTAGCTAAGCTCAAAGGTACCACAACTCCCCAAATCAGTGTCATTGATTGGTGAACAAATACCCAACACAGGAGCCTATGGGGGATAGGCATTTCAGATCGAACAATGAAAGTGGCCCTCCTCTATCTAGTATAGGTCTATACTTCTTCCAAAATTAAAATTGATTTTCATCTTTTTCTTTTTTTTGATACTTGGATTAAATTTAGGGCTTCCTGCTCACTGGGCCAGTACTCTACCCCTGAAGAACACTCGTAGCTCTCATTTCTCTTTTCTTAGAGCTGTCATCTGGCTCAACCCAAAGTCTCTTTGACAAGTACGGCAGCATCCTGAGGAAGGAACCAGGTTTTCTCTCTCCCGAGCTTATTCGTGGTCCATTTTTCCTTTCTAACAGGGAGACGGAGACTGACACGTTCAAAGCTTCTTTAGTGATTCCCAGCAAGGACAAGGCCGCATTCCTCCTCAGTTACGAAGAGCTTCTGCAGAGGAGGCTGGGGAAATACGAGCACTCCATCAGCGTGCGCCCCCAGCAGCTGGTGGGCCGACTGACTGTGGAGGTGAATGTTCTGGAGAGGTCAGGCATCTCAGCCTTGGAGGTGCTCCCTCTTCACAACAGCAGGAAGAAGGGCAGTGGGATTGCAGAAGGTGAGTCATGCCTGACAGTGCTCAGGTATTATGAGATGCTCAAAGCTGAGTCTGGGATTTCACCAACTCTGTAAAAAAAAGTCACCTCTTCCAAAAAGGCTTCACATTGGAAGAAAGTCACAAAACAAAGACAAGGCTTTGAGTAATTTTTCTTAAAGGCCCAGCTTCCATCAAGAGATGAATAAACATTTAAGTTTGTTTTGACATTGTTACCCCACTCTGAGGAACTGATTGTAGGTAAAATTTCTAAACTATTGAGAATATTGTATCCAGGAAGCTGATAGTTGATGGGGGGAAGTTCTTCTGTGTATATGTTACCCTGCTGGTAGATTAAATAAAGCACTGTTGGCCAATAGGGAAGCATGATAGGTGGGACTAGGAGTCGAGGAGGATACGGGGAAACAGAGGCACAGTCAGTCATGATGGGAGAAGAGGTCTAGAACCTTTTCTCAAGTAAGAGAAAACCACATGGAAATACTCAGATTAGCAGTTATAGGTTAATAATTAAGTCAGAGCTAGTCAATAAGAAACCAAGCAAACGGACAACAGCTTCATAATTAATATAGCCTCCTGTGTGTTCATTTGGGACTGATGTGGCTCTGGGACAAGGTTGGAGGGAAGAATGTACATTACAGATAATACTTCTCAGACAAAACATCCTGTCAGTGTACATATGATATAGGAACAATTAGTAATGAGCAATGATCAAAAGTAATTCAGTATGTGATGGGACAAAACACAAAACACATCAGCACCAGTATGCATGATAATGCTAAATACGTGAACCACAGCAGAAGACTTAAAGTTGTATAAAACAATGATTTCATATTCAGAGTGTAAGGTTATGGGTACGTGTTTATAAAAGGCCATCTTTTTTATGGTGAGTGGGCTGGAAGCTAAGGCTTTGAAATGTTAGTCAAGAGGTCTGCCATCGACCTATTCTTGTAGCCCCACTAATCTCCTTTTCAGTATTCAGCAATGCCATATTCTTTCCAAGATTACATAAAGAAAATGTGTTTGCAGATAGCCTGGTGGCACCTACCTGTAATCCCAGCTGCTTGGGAGGCGGAGGGGGAGATCTGAAAGTGTAGCCTGAATTATGGAGTAAGACCAAGGCTAGAAGGCTGGAAAGATGGCTCAGCCATTAACGACTGGGCTCACAACTAAAAAATGTAAGACCAAGGTTAGACTGGACCACACAGTAATACTTCCAAGGTGAAAAGTCAGAGGGCACCTGGGATATAACTCAGAGAAAGATTTTCCTAGTGCAAGCAAGGTCCAAGGCTCAATGCTCAGTACTGAAAAAAATGTGTTCTGATGTATAGACAGTATTAAACAGTCATTTTTAACTCAGTAGCAGCTCTAGATTCAGACTTTTCTCAAATTCAGATTTTTTAAAACAGCATTTAACTTACTGAAGTAATTATGAAAGATTTAAGGTGGTATAGATACATACTTTAAAAACTGAAACCTATTACTGTAGAAACTTCCAAATACATTGCATATTTTTACATATTATATATTTTTCTTTTATTGAAAATAGATTTTCCCCCAGGATTTTCCTTTCCTCTTCTCCTCTCAGCTCCTCCCCAACTTTCTTACCATCCAGATCCACTCCCTTTCTGTTTCTCATTAGAAAAACAAACAGGATTCTAGGGAATAATAATAAAATATAAAACAAAAACTAACACATTAGAATTGGATGAAACAAACAAGCAGAAAGAAAAGAGCTCACGAAAAGGCATAAGAAACAGAGACCCATTCATTCTTACTTTCAGGAACCAAAGTGGTCTATTTTTAATCATCATTAATTCCAAATAGTTTGTGACTATCATTTACTTGTGTCTGTCTCAATGCTTGATACTCAACTACATCTGAATGTCACATCCAATCAAATAATAAGATTACTATATTCAAACATCACACCAGGGTTGCAGTGACAAAATCTCAGGTATCTGTGACCTTGAGAACAGGGTAATAGTAAATGAGACCTGAACAGATAAAAGTTCAGACTCAGAATTAAGAGTTCGTGGATGCTAAGAGAGTCCAGAGCAGGCACATTTTTTTCATTTATAAATATTTTATTAATTTTTGATAAATTGATACAATATATTTCTTTTTTAAATTAGAAACAAGCTTGCTTCACATGTCAAGCCCAGCTCAGCTCCCTCTCCCTCCCCTCCTCCCCTGCCCCCACCAACCCTCCCAAACCCCCCACCTAATCCCCATTCCTCTCCCCAGGGAGGGTGAGGACCTTCATGGGGGATCTCCAGAGTCTGTCATATCATCTTGGGCAGGGCCTAGGCCCTCCTCCATGTGTCTAGGCTGAGAGAGCAACCCTCGATGTGGGATGTGCTCCCAAAGTCCATTTGTGTGCCAGAGATAAATACTGATCTACTACCCAAGGCCCCATATATTGCTGAGGCCTCCTCACTGACACCCACATTCAGGGGGTCTGGATAATTCCCATGCTGGCCTCTCAGCCATCAGTCTGGGGTCCAAGAGCTCCCTCTTGTTCAGGTCAGCTGTCTCTGTGGGTTTCACTAATCTGGTCTTGACCCCTTTGCTCATCATTCCTCCCTCTCTGTCACTGTGTTCCAGGAGTTGAGTTCAGTGTTTAGCTGTGGGTGTCTGCTTCTGCTTCCATCAACCACTGGAAAAAGGCTCTAGGATGGCACATAAGGTAGTTGTCAAACTCTCTATCAGGGAGGGGCATTTAAGGTAGCCTCTCCACTACTGTTTAGTTTGCCAGCTGGTGTCATCCTTGTAGATCTATGGAAATCTCACTAGTAGTGTCAGATCTCTCACCAAACCTATAATGAGTCCCTCTATTACGATATCTCTCATCCTGCTCTCCTCTATTCTTCCCCTGACTCAACCTTCCTGCTCCCCCAGGTCCTCCTCTCCCTGCCTCTTCACCCCCTCTCTTTTCCCCAGCGCCCTGTCCTCTCCCTCCATTCTCCCAATTGTCTCAGGATATCCATCCCATTCCCCTTCTCTGGAGTACCATGCATATCTCTCTAAGGGTCCTCCCTGTTTCTCAGACTCTCTGGCAGTGGGATTGTAGGCTGGCACTCCCCTGATCCATGTCTAAAATCCATATATGAGTAAGTACATACCATGTTTGTCTTTTTGTGACGGGGTCACCTCACTCAGGATGGCTTCTTCTAGTGCCATCCATTTGCCAAGCAGGCACATCTTAACAGCAAAACTGAACTTGGCCCTTGGAAGCCACATCTGACTATGGAAGCTAAACTGTTGTCAAGGTGTCTGACATTCAGAAATGGCAGGAAATTGATCCTTCATCCTCATGCCATGTGGTGGGTAGTTATGTGGCTCGTAGGGCTTTGTGCAGCTATTGGTGTAAGTGGAAGGAAATCATTGCAATGGTGTTGAACAGAGCTCCCACTTGTGTGCAGCAGGGGCAGAGCCTGTCTCTGGGGGACTTTGAAACACTGCCGTACAGAAGCCTCTTGATCCAGAGTGAGAGTTAGTGGTTATTGTTTTATTATTATCATTATTATATTCCTTATATTTACTCTTTATCTTTAGACATCTTAAATGTATTAAGTGCCTTCAGAGGTATATCTGTTTCCAATCAACCTTTGCCTCTTTGCAGGATCTAATATAATGTCTTTTACATAGTACATGCCATTAATACAGCATCTTCAGAAGCAAATACACACAAAGAATGGATAATGTTTTCGAATTTAATATTTCGGTAATAGTAACTTTAGAGGGAACTTTTCTAGCTTTAACTGTTTACAGAAGTATTATTCAGTGGAAAAGGTTCCCAGAGGTGGCGGAGTACTGTAGCAGTAAAGTGTCTGTAAAGTGTTCCTTCCATGAATACACAGAGTCAGTAAATGTATCCTTAGGATGAGCTGAAAGCAACAGAAATGCAAGCTTGCCTAATTTCCAGGAGCTCCATAGCCCTTCAGAGCCGGATACGTGTTACGTGCCTCTGCTTATGTATATGTTTGGGCAGGTATGAGTTATGACTGTCAGTTAAACAGTTTCTTATTGTTTATAGATGGAGCTTATTAATATTTTCAAGGAATGTTTCCAGGCCATTGATCTCATCTGTTTATTATTAAGAAGATTGATTTCCCAGGTTTTTGTGGGAAAACAGATCCTCTGTCTTCCAGAACATGGGGATTTCACTGGAGTGTCCTCTAGCCCCATGCAGGGGCCCGACTTGCTCCCGGATGTTCCCCGTTGGCCTTTCCAGCTCTGTTTTTGTTCTTCCTGAGAATGGTGACCCCAGCAGCAAGGAGCACAGGATGTTGTGGTTTTGTCTGGACACCCTTGAGTGTTTCCAAAATAAATCGAGGGCAGAGATCACACTAGAGTCAGGCTTGTACCAGAACATGAGCTGGAACTGAGAGACTGTGACCCAAGGCTGGGCGTTCATTTCTCAGATAGATCCATCTGTGACTAAGAAATCAGATGTGTGCAATTTGTGTAGATGAGTCTCTGACCCATGGCTCCATTTCATCTTTTTAAAAAGTGATTTATTTATTTTTAGATTATAACACAAAGCCATGTGTTTCATCATGGCATCTTCATACACATGTGTCATTAGACTTCATTCTCGTTTGTTCCTTTCTCCCCTCCCCTCACTCACACCCCTCCTTCCTTCTTGCTGGCTCCATTCCATCTGTCAAGCTAGTCTTCCTTTTTCCCCACAAATATTCCATTACTCTCCGTATTTTCTGGCTCTGTTAGGATCTCATTCCTCCTTCTCATGATTCCCTTTCCAGTTTCATGTCTTATACAAATATACATACAAACATATATAGATACATATATGATTTTAAATCTAGATTTTGCATGTACAAAGTGACATGTAGATTGATCTTGCTGATTCGGCTTATTTCATTTAATAGTATGATTTCTACTTTTGTTGTCTTGAAGGATGCATCTTACCTAAGTGTCATTTGGTTAGGTACTAGGCAGAATATGTTGCCTATAGCATTTTCTCATTCAGTTTTGTTTTG